AAGACGGTGAGAAAATTGGTACAAAGGGGAGAATGATCGATAAGTAATTCGAGTCCAGACAGTAAGGAGGTATAAATTAGCTTCGACGACATGGAGGATTTTCTATGTCGGTTCTTTGACCTGAATTGGCCGGGCAGGTCCATTATCAAAGGGAATTTCTCTCTTCTTCGAAGCTGGGAACGTCTTACGAGACTACGAACGCTCTACCTCTTCGAGAGGGAGGATTTGAAAAACTCGCCGCGGCTGCTTTTGATCTGCCGTTTGTTAGGTAGAAACGTCCGCCTCGTGTCGAACGAGCTTCCCACATTTTCAGCAAAAGGGAACGTTCCGTGGAAACGTTTAAAACGATCCTAGGAATAACGAACGGGGACATTGTGTTATATTATTCCCAGTGAAACAATCCGGTTTTATAATATCCACGTAGGACGGAGGGAGAGAGCTTGATTTCATCTATAGAGAAGGATCGTGAAGCTTCAACAAGGCGGAAGGAGAGAATCTGGGACGCAGATGAGAGAGAACGATTCTTCTCTGAGGACGAGCAGAAGACGAAATCGCCGCGTTATGGTCCGTGAATAAAGCTCATTCGTTACCGTGAAACAATCAGGAAGGAATCACTGGTGAAATGAGGGGGACAGAAGTAGGCGTGCGATTGAAATTTACTAAGAGAATCAGGATTATACCTTTAGCGTAGCTATCAACCGGGTGGTGGATCGCAATTTCTCACGATCTACAGATATAACAAGCTGTTCTGCGTTGGCTGTAAAATGTCGGTGCACATATACACGTATACCGTTCGCCGAACGAGTCGATACGCGAAACCGCGGTCGACACGATATTGAAACACCGCCGCGTTTCGGTTACGATACAAACTAATTCTATTTACTGATTTTTTTTTTTTACTTTTCCCGTACGTTCGATCCTTTGTCATCGGCAACTTCGGTTTAATTGAGTTAATCGAAGTGGCAAAGGAATCGGTGTAATGAGCGATTCCGTGTTTCCAAATAAAACCAATAAATTGTAACGGGCCATTCGCGGTTTTCGATAATTCATCTGTTACACGGTATGAATTTTTCGTCTGTAAATAATACACATTTCGTTTTGAAATTATTGCGTTAATAATAATCGGATATGCAAATGGAATATGCCAGGAGTGTTTCGCGAAATTGAGTTACTGCTGATTAACCTCCCATCCATCTCTCCCTCTGTCTCTCCCTCTCTCCGAGCCGGTAATAAACACACAGGCGTGTAATTCCGATCGATGTGAAAATATTCGGTTGAAGAGGTGTAGAATCGTCTTTTTCAATCGACTTTACGACACGTGTGCACAGCGACGTCAAAGCCACACGGACGAGGCGCGACGGGCCAATTTCCTCACGAACCTTATGCGACTCTCGACGATCCCGAGCTTCAACTCTGGGACGTTTTACGACGATTCAATCGGACGTTCCCTCCCCGGCTACGCCGGTTGATATATAACCAGCAGTCTCGTAAAAACTATTTGACTCGAGAACTCTCCGGGCGAAAGCGATGTAAAACCGGCGCGACATGCATCAGCCAGAAAAACAACCGTGCAAAGATCGAAAATTTACGAGGGCCGCGCGTTATCTGCTCGCGAGGGGTAAAAAAGATAGGTTATCAGGGAAATTACAGATTCCCCACTAAATCTTCCCCTCGGCGGCCCTCTCACTCTCTACCATCTCTAAGCTAAACCTTTGCATAGAGTGCATGTACATCGCACGTACACCACCCAGGGAATCAATTCTCCATCTCAAACAGTCGCATGATTCACACCGCTGCACAGTAAACTTATCACCGGGGGGATCTCTATTTCCTTCCTTCGTCGCTGTTACAAACAAGTAAGTACAGAGTTGCCTACAGTTCCAACCTGAGCAACTCTCGGCGATGGTTTCTGCAACCGTGAAAATAATTAAGGCGTTCTGCAGTTGAAACAGAAAGCCTGCACAATGGTGTTAATTTTGCGGTGATATCTACCGTTCGAGTTCGATGCAAGAAGATCGTACACGGTCGAGGGACGATGTTAATTCTCTCTCTCTCTCTCTCTGGATCTTTTCGTCAATTCCTACCCTTTTTCTCCCCACCGTCGAGATTCCATCTCGGTTCGTACAGAGTTGACAGTTTCGTCACGATTGTACAATCGGTATCGTTGATACCAGACCACTTCGACACTTGCTCATAGCGGACGAAATCGTATCGAGGTTCGTTTCGAGGTCCTCCTCGACGAGCATTCTTCCGGAACTGGGTTAAGACCCGAATTAAATTTTCCCTTCCCCCGTGAAATCCTGTTCGCTTGCATCGAGGCCGAAGGTGAAACGAAATTTCCAAACCGCTGACGTAGAAACGCATCCCTCCCGACGATCCCTTGCACCAGCGCCGCGGCGCTTCCGGCGCGGTTAATCCAGAGACCCAGGATCGCTAAACTTGACCCTGTCCGGAAGCCAGCCAGGCGTAACCGGTGAAATGATATTCCTCTGGGGAAAATGATAACGGAAAATCTGTACTATCTCTCTTCTAATTTCACCTAGAGATTTCCATCTCTCTCTCTCTCTCTCCCTTTCGTAGACGACAAGTTTGTACAAGGAGTTGCACGGATTTACAACGGCGAACGATCATCTTTCGTCGGGCTGTCGATGAGAATCGGAGTTTCGAAGAGTAGAGAGGAATCAGCATTTGGAATTCGGTTAGCAATCAGAGTTGAGAGCAATCAGTTAGCCTGCACTTAGTAATCAACTAGTATTCAGAGTGGTGTTGGTTGGTTGGTGATTAAGCGTGGAGGGAAGGGGGGGTTGACCGGTGTAAGAAGGGTTCGTTAGGTATTAAGAGGATTCGTTGATCAGTTGTTATTATTGTGTCGTTTTCCATTATCCGTCGAATATTATACATAATTCGAGGAGAATGGGAGAAGAAGAGAATAAAAAAGGGGGTGAGGGGAGGAAAGAATGGAGGCATTGTGGTAGTGGAATGAAAAGGCGGAGAGAGTCACGGAACGGCCATTAAAACCTGCCCTAAAAGTGACACTCGTTAAAAATCTATTCTAGATATTTTTTTCATCATACTTTCACGCATTTCAATTTTCGACGATGGCATATAAAATCACACGATGACCCAGGGCACGAGGCAAGAGGATCGATGGCTTGGTCTAAATAGAATCCGGAACTGGCTTCGAATTAGCAGCGGCACAGATTGACCGGGGATAAATCACCGCGAGTCATTTGTGGTTTTATCAGTGCGCGTTTTTTCCTCTCTTTCTCCTCCGCTACTTCGGCAGAACGCATAAATCTAATTCCGTGTCACGAGCTGTCGCGTATCCTCTGCTTCCTTTCTCTCCCCCTTGAAAAACCGAGAAAGAGAAAACGAGCGAACGAGTGAGATATACGTTCCGATTTTTTCCCCTCTTCGATCGACGTACGATCCAAAAAGGACGTCGTTGTTGCTCTAACAATCCGTTTCTTCTCTTCCTTTCTTTGTTTTCGTTGCACCGTCCAGGCGATATAATCCACGATAGGAGTTGACGATCCAACGATCGAGGGACCGTCGAAAATTGATCGATCCAAGAGTCGATTACCGGAAACGGACGACCGAAAATGTGACGCACGGCGGACATTCGACGGGCTGTGGCTCGAACAAGAGAGGAGACTGGACGACTATTGGAAGCGTGACGTTCGATTGACGGTGAGTATTACCAGCAGATATTATCTAAAGTGAAAAGAAAACTTTATCAAACTGTCAATCATGCAGGTTTCTAAATTCTCTTTTCGTCCCTCTTCCTCTCTCTCTCTCTCTCTCGTCGTCGTCGTCAATTCTCCATTTTCATCGCCGCTGTTCATTTCGTCCGTCGACCTCAACATAAATATTATTTAACTCGTTTCGCCAGATTCCAGAGCATTGTAAACTTCTAATTTTTACTCCCCAGTATTTTCAACGTTCTCTGTTTGGTCAGCGGCGCGTGTGTTTTACCGCGCGTAAAATATCGGCTATATTTAATTTACCTCGCATCTCTCCGATGTTTTATATTTCACAGACGAGAGACGATATCGCTGTTGGGTGGATACGTGAACGTGAAAAAATTCGCGAAATTAACGATCCCACAGTTTTCATCCATTTCCGTGTGAATCTTTAAAACCGGCGATTTTTCCACCTGTGATACATATATGAGACGAGTCCGTACTTCATACTTCACGGATGAATATTACATCGCGCGTATATAGGATATTTCTCGAAGGGACGATCGTTCGTTATAAATATATTCCTCTGTGTCGACTGTATACGAGCGTAGAAACGTTCCGCCGAAAGTTTCCAGTTTAAGGTTGCGCCGCACGACGGTTGGACAGTTTTGCGATATCCCGGTGCGTGAACTACGTCGCTCTTTAAAGCCACTTCCGGTGCAGGAAATACGGCGCGAGCCTGGTGTCTCCGCGCGTTCGTTACGAATAATGGCCTGATAGATCGCGTAATTTATTACGTCACCGTGTCCTCATGCCTCGTGAAACATCGTGAACGTCTTCGTAATTCTCTATCTAGCCGACAGGAAACGTCGCAAATTGCGCGAGTGTGCTTCGCGTATAAATCTGTCCTTTCTGTTCACTTCGAGAAACAGAAAAAAGGGAGAGACAGAGAGTCGAAAGAATTTCTCTTTCGCCGGGACTTGGAGAGGAACGGTAATCCGTGAAAAGAGAGGGGAGATCCTTCGTTTGTTTGAAATTGAATCTCGCTCGACGTCGATCTGTCTTGTTAGTTGGCAATTATTTCTTCGGTCCTTCGTAGCACGATAATTGTAACGATAATAATAATCTACAGGCGTGACAACGAAGAATTTGAAACGAAACGGTTGATCTTGTTAAGGTTTCGTTATCCTTGGCAATCGGTGAAAGAAAGATGGTTGCTTTGAACCGTGTTAGGATGGATATACGAACAGAAATGGGTAGTTTAATCCTGACTGACTGCGTGTGTGTATATCGAAGTTTTTTAACGAGATGATTAATCGTCGGGTGTTATTTCGTTTGGTCGCAGTAGGAGCGACGGTAAACGTTTGAAACAAAAGAATCGTCCGGATGAGCACGCGTTCCGTTTGAAAAATCCCCCTGTTGTCCAACCACGGCGGTGGTCATTAATCGAAGCTGTAATTGGAGGTTTAATTCGTCACTTTGAGCGTGTATAATGGCCCGGTGCATATTCGATGATTTAAATCGTGGGACACTTGTCACGGGTAATCCCTTTATCTGCTCCATTGTGTAGTCAATTGTCTATCTCCTCTTTACGTAACACTTTTCTCCTATCGCTTCTCTCTGTGTCACTCTTCCTCACTTCCGGTGTTGCGTAATTTCCGTTGCAACGTTAATCCCGCCTTCTCCTTTCACGTTCGCACGTTACGAATCTTCGTTATTAATGCGACGGGAGATAGTATCAATTTTAACGAGACAATCACGAAAGTTACGGATACGAAGAATTTCCGTCGATAATTTATCGCGCACAATGTGTAACAGTTCTCGAGAAGAATGAAAGGTGATTTTTTTTCTCCTTCTTTACAATGTTCACAACGATGAATTTCACGTGAAAAATTTTGTTCCTTTTTTTACGAAAAAAAAAAAAAAGAAGAAAAAGTGCGGACGAGGAGAGTGGGAATAGTAGCGAAACCGCACGATCGAGTTTCTCTTAGCGTTAACCCCGGCTAACGGCCCTCGAAAATTTCGGAACAGTCGAAAACCGTGACCTGGTTCATCGATGAAGTCGGTGTAACCGGCGAACGTACGAATGTTCCTCTCATGTTCGAGTCAATTAAGCTCTATCGATTGCCTCGACGACAAAGACAAACCCAGGCACTGTGCTCGAACGGCCAACAGTTCCGTGGTCCACGGGGCGACGTTTATTGTTACTTTATTAACGGCTCGATCGTCGTCGAATTACGATATCTGCGGCTATTGGGAAATGTAGTCCGTGGTCGATTGTTCTCATAAAGATTCGTCGTCGTTTTCGGTAAAACTGATCGTAAAGTTTCACCCAAACACCACTCTCTCTCGCTCTGTACGCGCATAGTTCCGATTGGACTGTCCGAAATAACGGACTGCATCTACTTTAATGATAGCCGAGTTGCTAGAGAGGTCTGTATAGCTGTGAAGCGTTGAAACAATGGTGATTCGCAACATAGTTTATCACGAGCGTGGTAAACAGGAGAGTGTATTAATTAGACGTCAGAAGAGGAACATTTCTGTCACGCGTTTCTACCATATCTCTTCGCTCCTCTTTTTCCTGCACAATTTTTTAGAAGATCCGCCATCTATCTTTCGTATAACGAAGAGTTATTCTACCTCCGGATTGAAATAAATAAAATGAATAAAAGATACGGCAAGGAAATCGCGTTTCCAACTGTATTATTCTCCGATAAACGTGACGGAACATGAAACACCTTTTGTATTCCGCCTGGAAGAAGATTCTTTGATTTTTTCGTCGTCCTGCGGATATACGTACATACATACCCGGGGAAGAATTTGAAGAAATTCCGTTGGAACGTACGACGAACGTCACTTGTGTAGTTTTCCCCATTCGCCGGGCGGTGAGGAAACGCTCGAAGGGTGGTTTTTAACGTGAGCTTTATCGCTAAAAGCAATAAAGAAACGAGCGGCAGGCGAACGTTATTCACCTTCTTTCTTCCGTTCCGTCTCCATTCCAGCCGGTACACTGTGTCTGCTGGAGGGTCGAGAAAGGCTCCACGATCGTCTCTCTATACACACACACACGCGCGCGTATTCTCTCGTGGATGGCTACGAGGACCCTAAAGCCCTGTCCCATTTTTGTCCTGGATGCATTCTAATTCTCTACTTTCATTTTTGATTCGCCGTCTTCTCATTTTCCCGTGAGCGTCGTTTTATCCGATTTAATATTCCTTTCTGGCCGGAGTCTCTCGGTAAAATGTACCTCAAGAAGAAGAAAAAGAAGAAGAAGGAGCGGGGAGGAGAAGGGAGAGAATATAGCGAAGAGGGATAAATTGAATTTTTAAAGAAAATATGTGTTTAGGATCGAGAAGGTCGCTCGAGCAAAGGAAGTGACGACGAATCGCTTCCGTTTAAGATTCTCCGACAATACACTTCGTTCAAGAGATATTATTTTTCAATAAAATCGATGTATCGTATCAATCCTCTTAGAAATTGAATCGTCGATAAAGGAGTTGGTTCTCGGTTCACGAGGGAGAGAAAGAGAGGGAGTATCATTTTTCCGTATCGCCGCTATTCACAGATCTTAAGCAGCAGAGCGAAGGGGGTGAGAAGTAACCTCGAGGTTACTTTCTTTCCACTTTTATCGCGATCTCGCATGGCCGAAGGAAGAGGGAACGAGAGAAACGAGACAGAGTCCCCTTGTACATAAAAACAACGTGAGGTAGAAAGGCAGTGGTTAAAAAAAAAAGAAAAATAAGAAGAAAAAAATGTGGCATTAAAACAGCACACAGTTACTCCGAAAGCTCCATTCTTTCGTGGATCCTTCCATTCGTGTGTCGGTTACTTTAAAAATCATGTCCCCTCTGATCAATGGAACGCAGCAAATTCTTTTGTGTCTCGTGTAATGCCGAAAGTAGGCCAGTTTGGAGGACAGATTGGAACGAAACAGAGCCCCGCGATGTACGAAACGTCAATAATGAAACACAGCCATCCCGATCACCGCTGCAATATAATCCTCTCTATGCTCCGTGCGGGAGGAACTCTTCTATGAAACTATACCTGCTTGTTAAAGGTACCATAAAACTCGGCTGGAACGTTAAATAAATTATTCTTCCGTGTTTACACACCGAGGGAAGGAAAAATCTTCTCGTTAATAATTTCTCTCTCTCTCTCTCTCACCGAGAACACAATCGCTCCTTGTTCTCCACGGTGTGTGTGTGTGTACCGCGAGAAAGAGTAAGCTTCCGGTGCGTTCGTCGCGACCGTCCAACCGAGGGCCCGGTAGAATTTCGCTACGATGAGATATTTTCACGGGCTGGATGGTACGAGGAGAGATGTGTAACCGGGTCCGCGACAAACTGGTTGCAGCGTTGCGTAATTTTGAAAAGGAAGACGCCGGGGCTTGTCAAGGAGAAGAAAAGAAAAGATTATGGCATTCACGTCGCGTTTTCCAACACTCGGCCGCGCCGCATCCTTCGAATGTGAATGTTTCATGAAACGCCGTGCCGCGGAAAAATTCATGAAACACGCTCCTTCCTGGCGTGAAGACTCGGGACGAGAGCCACCATTATATGCGCCGCCTGTTCTCACCTATCTCTCTCTTCCTTGTTTTTCGGTCGTGATGAAGAACCGCGAAACCGCGTGTTTCGTACAAATCGCATTGTCGCGATAAAGATGTTGATACAACTTATTTCCAAGTTTCGTTCCAACGATCGTCAACAGAGAGGAAAAAGGTGTTTTCCTCCTTTCTCGTTCTTTCCCCCTTCCGCGTTATAGAATGTAGCATTTGTCGGTATAATCTGACAGTTGATTGCCGGAAGGTAAGATGGTAATTGGAAAGTTGCTCGAAACTTCCTGCACGCTTCCGATAACGTAATTTATAGCGGCTGCGTGGCCGGAAGAGAGGGTCGCGGAAAGCTCGACTGGCCGCGATTCCTCCGGAGATTTGCGAAAACTTCACCAACGGAACAAATGGACCGCTCGAGGTTGGAATCGGTATTTGCTCGAAGCTCGAAATCAAAT